GCTCACCCACCGCCGCCGCCGCCTGGGCGCCGCTCCGCGGGCAGCCTCCCTCCCTGGGGCGCCCTTCTTCTCCTCGGCCTCCTCGGTCCGGCCAGGCCAGGCCCATCGCCCGGCGGAGGAGGAAGAGGCGGAAGAGGCGGCGAGAGAGAGAGAGAGAAGCAGGAGGGCCTTCCCTTCCGAGGAGGAGGAGGAGGAGGAGGAGGCCGTCGCTTCGCTTCGCTTCGCTTCCTCCCGGGCGGGGAAGGCCGAGGGGGCGGGGGAGAGGAGCTGCCGCCGCTGCTGCTGCCGCTGCTGCTCCCGGAGCCCGGCCTTCCTTCCTTCCTTCCTTCCTCCGGGGAAGGGGATTCCCTCCGGCCAGGGACCAACCTCCTCCAAGCAGGGGAGCCAGGCCTCCGAGGGGGGGGTCGCTCCTTAAAAAACAAAAACAAAACAAAACCAACCACAACCATCCTGGGGACTACAGCTCCCAGAATGCCGCGGGCTGCCCTCTGGGAGTTGTAGTCCCCAAAGAGGAACGGGAGTGGGTGGGTGAGTGGGCCCTCCTCTGAAGGCATCCCCCCTCCCTCCAAGGGGAGGCCAACACACACACACACACACACAGAGAGAGAGAGAGAGAGAGAGAGAGAGAGAGAGAGAGAGAGAGAGAGAGAGAGAGAGAGAGAGAGAGAGAGAGAGAGAGAGAGAGAGAGAATGCTTCATCCTTAAGGTTTATATGTCCCACCCACGTGTACATAGAGATCAACACAAAAGCTCACACATCAACCACCTATTGTAGGGATTTCTTCTTCTTCTCCCCTGTGGAAAAACAGTACAGGACTGTCTGGAGGCAACTGGTTTCTTTGCCAAGGTCCAGGACAGGCTTCTAGAGGCATTTCCTCACATTTATAGTGGGCTTCCACCTTCCCCCCCCCCAAATTCCGGATTAGCATTCCTGGGGCAGCTTCCACAAAACAGGAAAAGCAGGACTGGGCCAGGCAGGAGGTGGGGAATGGGGTGCTGACGTGCTTTGGACCCCCCGGGGACCTAACGCTTCACCAAAGGGCCCCCCAGCTCAGCAAAAGAAGAAAAATGGGGGGAGAGTGACCCCCTGTCCCCTCTTTGGCCCTGGGTGATGCCCGCTGGCAGGACTTGGGGGGAGGGATGCCCCGGTGCCCCACCCTCCCCGAGCGCTCTTCCTCAGCTCCCCTAAGCGTTCTTTGTAGCAGCATGGTGCGCCAGCTCACTTGGAAAGGGTGGCCTTGAAAAGTGGCCTACGGATAGCAAAATAAGTGTCACTGACCCAGACGTATTCAATGCAGATAAAAGCATCTAGAAACCTCCCCAAAAAACTATCAAAAGTGCATGCCAACAGTTGGGCCCTTCCATGCATGAGAAGTTAGCTGGGTTGCTAAAGGCATGGAGTGATGAAGTCAGGAGCGCTAACGTGACACGGGGAGGCCTTGAATTGCAAAGCCGGTGGCGACACTGGGGTGGACCGGAGGGGGGTCCATCCCGGAGGCTGCAGTGGGAAATGCTAAGCCAAGCGTTCTAGCGTTGGGATGATAGTGGTCTGGATTTTAGCATTATCTGGTGGGCTGTCGGGCAATGAGAGGCACCACGTCCTTCATCCCTTTTCGGTCTCTCCTCACCACAAGGCCACCCAAGTCAAGGCCCTCATCAAGATTACAAAAGGCGCGTTCAGACGCCGGAATAGTTTTGGAACGGAGAGGCCTTTCTGTATTTGCACTCAGCAACATTACACGTTGATGGTTAAGTAAGTTAATCACCCAGTTACAACCATTTCCCTCTAAGTAGATATTACTACCCTCTACTACTGCAACGGTTGTGTGTCACTGAAAGTGAAATCTGAATTAGATTCAGTCCGGCCGGATATCTTTCAACCGAGTCCCCAGATGGTGAAAGGTGGCCTCGCAAGTCAACGTTCCTAGGAGGCAGGCGGGAGCCTTCGCTTTTCTTGCTAGCTCGGAGCACAAATGCCATTTCTCGGTCAACGCAGGGAACGGTCTCCCCGGCTTCGTTGAGCACGCACCTCTCCGTGGTCATCACACCTGTTTCAACAACTGCGTCTACCAGCCAAAATGCCACGGGCAAGATTACGACTTTACTAAAAGTGGACCAGCATCCTCCCTCATTTTGAAAGTGGACTCTGATGTACCTGGCCAGGGAATCTGTAAACTGTGCAACCCAGTGGTTTCTCATTTGCCTCATGGCCTGTATTCAACATTAAATTATTTCTTTTAAGATACAGGAGCCAGAAGCCAGATGATAACGAGCCTCTACTACAGCAACATCCCAGCTGTAAACTGGCACCATGTGTGTATCTTATTTGCTTAGTGTGCAGTCACAGGTTTTTTTTTGGGGGGGGGCAGCTGCAATCCTTTTTCGGCCAGCTGTTATAAGCTTTTAATATTTCTACAGAAAATGCGCAACTTAACAAAACCCTTCTTTTTTCACTGGGAGGTTCCCCTCTATATAGCTTTTCTTTTTTTGAACAGCCACAACTTCTAGCTCAATGACTAAAGTTTTCTTCTGCTTTCTGTTTCATCCTTTCCAAACATCTAGTCTTCATGAATATGGCTCTATAATGTTTATAGTTCACGAAGGTTTTCTGCACTATTAGATAATGAGGCTAGTTCTTTCTGGAGCAGCTTCACAGGAAATAATAAGCCATGATTCACAGCTTGGTACCCTGACTAGATGGCCTACAGGCAATGTCCTTGGTGATAATTGTGAATGATGCATCTTCTTTGAAAGAGGCAAAGGCTGCTGCTTCTCACTGTTTCATTGTTAGTCACTATTAATGGGTTACATAAAAAAAACTTCCAACAAAAATAACATCATGTAAAACTACATGATGCAGTTTAATTAATCACACATAATACAGCTGCAATCTGATCAGGGTTGGGTGTTCATGATATTAACCATTTATTAAATTGCAGATCTTGAATATGGGGCCTGGTTCAAGACTGCATATTTACTTGGGAGTTAGCTGAAATAGGAGATGTTAAGATTTTGCAAACTACTGTATGTTCTTTTAGACTGAAATATCTTCTCCACCTAAATCACCAATTATTGGGAATAATAATATCTACTTTTGAGAACTACTAAGATTATTGCTTCAGCTCATTATATGTTTTTGCACAAATACACACTTAATTACAATGGCAACGAGTTGTATTCTTGTGGGGTGGTTTTCAAAGACTAAAAGTTGGAGGTGATTCTACAAAAGTAAAAGGGAGGTCAACTAACTTCCAGCATGATATCAAGTGTTAATTTATAGCTAGCCTGATAAACAATGGGTTGACAACAGAACATTTTTGATGTGAGACTGGCAACTGATTGAAGTCTGGATTTTTTTGGGGGGTGGGGGAAGTGCACTTCCTTATTTACTACATGTTGTCCAGACAGTGCCCTAAATAACAAAATTTAATAAGCTCTTGAAATGCAAATATAAAAACCTCCCAAAGCGATAGTAAGGAAATATATCCAAGAGGGCCATGCCAGAAACTCACAAAATGGATTAACCCCACTGAGGTTGTCCAGTAAGCCAAAGACCTGGGACTCCCCCAGATAAACAACTCTAAACTTTTGTTTAAAACTGGTTTTACTTCCTGTAATTGTTTATTTACAATGCATCCATATGATCTGTTTTAAAGGATTTAATGTATTCTCAAAGGCTTTATAAAGATTGTTCTAAGCCTCCAGATGTGCCATGGTTACACTGCATGATAAATTTAATGAAAACTATTTTCTTTATTAAGTTCAACTGTGCTGATGCCCTGGTAAAAGTTTATCGGCTTGGATATTATTATTTTATTACTCCTAGATTCTCTCTCATACGTTTTTTAACCTCAAGACATCCCTCTTCTAACCCAACGATGGAGAAATAAGCATGTTCTCCCACAGAACCTTTCCAGCATAATGCAAAAGAAATACTGTACATCCATGTGGTCCAGGCGCAAAATTCAAAATCAGGTTTGGGTGATTGCTTTATTGTAAAATTAAAATTTCCATGAAAATTATAACTTTCCAGTCCTGGGAAAAACGGTCCCAACATTTAGGATTTATGTTAAAACTACAGCATCTGTAAGAACGTTACTTTTACTATCTTGCAGCTTTAGCATCCTGCTGGGATGATTTTTGGAATTTATTCCACTCCCCAATTCTTAATTCCTGCCGCGCACACACAAGGCTTCCCTTTCCGTATTTTATTCCTCCAATTGTCCAACCCTCATTTTGGATTAGGTTATCGTAAATTTGCTTCAGGTGCCTCTTCATTTTCCCTCCTCAAAATGCACTAAGAAGAGTTTTTAATCCCTTCACAAAATTTGCATCTGAGAAAATAGATCGCAACCCACGAACATTCAAAATAAATAAATCCGCTCATCTCCAGGACACCGCAATGCTTTTATTTAATGTGTGTATGAGTGTACAATATATGCTTTTTCGAACATATATAGATATAAACGCTCCGCTTCACTCGGCCCTCCTCCCCCTCCCCCTCTCACTTTCCCCTTCAGGCGGGAAACCAAGCGGCCCAACCCCGGAGAGACAAAATGGCGGCTCCCTTTCTCGCCTCTCCCCCCTTCCTTCCGGACCTCGCGCCTGCGCACTCCCCCTTTTTGCCCCGACGCGTATCCCTCCGCCGCTTCTTCTCCCCCCTCCCCCTCTTGTTTTGCCATCGAACGCTTCAGCCGTAAAATAATCCCTCGTCCCTATGAGGGGAAAGCCGCCCTCCAGGTTGGTAATTCCTCGTTCCTTCGCCCGTTTCGGCCTCGGGGCCTGCTTCTTTCCTCGGCCTCCCTCCCTTCTTTCGCTTCCTCGGTCGCCTCAGCCGTGACGAGGCGAGCGGGCGGGAGGGCGGTTGGTGTGTCCTTCCGCGGGGGGACTTTTTGGCGGGGCTTTTGGGCGCCTCTGAGGAGACGCGGCCTGGGCGGCCTCGGGCGCCCCTCGCTCGTCGTGCTGGGAGCCGGGCGCGGGCTACACACGGTAAGGGAAGGCCTGGCCTGGCCTCCTTCGTCCACCCCCCTCTTCCTCCTCCTCCGGCCCGGCCGGCCAAGCTTTTCCAGGTCAGTCTGCGCCTCTTTTCGTGCGAGGGGCCCTTGGTACCGGATGTGGAAGTGGATCTCTTCTCCTGTGGTAAAAAATAATTCCACTTCCCCCGGAACCCGGCGCTTCAGCCGCGGCCCTCTCTTGCGCTCGCTCGCCTGCCCGCCTTCCTGCCCGCCCGCCCGCTTTCCTTCCTTCCTTCCTTCCCCTCGCAGGCGCCCAACCCAGCCAGGATTTCCTGTCAGCCGAGGGGGGCCGAGGGAAAGCCACCTTCCGGGGACACTCGGCCCGCTGAGGGGGGAAAGAAACGCGCCCGGTTGGCCCCCTTCCCAGACCGTCGTAACGCGTCCTCACGTTACATGGACCGCGGCCCCTTCCCGTGTCGGCCTGTGAAGCGCCGGCTTCTCGCCTCTCCCGCCTCCCCCACCGCTTTCTTTTCCGTGTTAACGTCCCCACACGTGCCCTTGCCCCTTTTTCCTCGCCGCCTTCCCCGTGCTCGCGCGTCCCCGCCAGCGCCAACGTCTCCACGTGTGGCCTCGGGCGTCCCGTCAGAATGGCTCTCCTGGGCGGTCAAGGTAGAGCCGAGCCCCCCCCCAAGAAGGCTTCTCAAGAGACGTGAGAGAGATTCTCTCCCCCCCCCAAGCCAGGAGTGGCCATGCCCGAGGGGAGATTTGAACCCAGGTCTCCCCAGCCACCACCCCTTTCTTCCCGTGTCAGGATGTTGACGTGTTCCTCTAGACGCGAGTCTCTCCCCTGCTCACGCATTTCCCTAAAGACGATCCCCGTGTCAGCCCAGGGAGACTTTGCCCCAAAGGCCGCCTTCGCGTCCCGTATGAATGGACCTCCCGTGTTGTTGACTCGTCCTTGGGGTCACCCGGCGGGCCCTTTGCCGGGCTTCCCTGGCTCGGCTGGATCGCCTTAGACGCCTGGGCCGTCAGGAAGCCTGGCCGCCTGGCTTGGCTGGTGGGTGTTTTCGAAGGGCCTGCAGAAACAGATAAAATTCAATTAAAAAGGGGGGGGGGGAAGCAACGCCGAAGGGCCTGCAGAAACAGATAAAATTAAATTAAAAGGGGGGGAGGAGGAAAAAAAAGCAACCGAAAGAAGATCTGGTGGGATTTGTAGGACTTTTCGTGTCTTGGTCATGGACGATTCTGACTTTGGATGTGGCACTCTGCGCACAATGTGCTGGGCTTACACCCAAATAGCCTTTAAGGGTTTTCTATCCTTTTTTATTTGAATTGTCAGCTGTGACAATCTATGCCCACCCCCGTTATTTGACAGGCGGACTCTTGCTCTCGCTCTCTCTCTCTTTTTGCATTTTATGTGTTCTGTAATTTGTTTTATTCTTATGCCTTAGAACTTTTTAATAATTTTCTGATCATTTTTCTCAGACCAATAAATTAGTATTCTTCAATACGCCTACATTTGAAATCCATCTTTCTTGCTTTCTTTCTTGCTTTCCACTTGCCCATTGCCTGTGGTAAAGTCTCTAATTCCATTTCATAAAGCAAAATCTCCATCTTTCTTTCTTTCTTTCTTGCTTTCCATTTGCCTGTTGCCTGTGGTAAACTCTCTAATTCCATTTCATAAAGCAAAATTGGGAATACAGAGCTAGATATGACATGCATTCTGAAAGCCAATGTTCAGGTTTTTTTGTATTTCACACTCTATAACAGATTTCTTTCAGTTTGAGTCTCAGTGGATTATAATCCACGACTTAAGTATATTTGCTTTATGGGGTTGCTCAGAGACTGCTGACTTGTGCACACAGGCTGGAGGAAGTAAATACCACAATTCTGAATAGGACCATTTTGAATACTTGTAGGTTTTTTGAGCTAATGCATGCTTATACTGTACTTGGGAATTGGAGGTACATACAGATCAGAAGTTTTACTTCTGAATAGTGACATGAAGGATCAGGATGCATGTTTGTTCAGCCACACTAACTAGGAAGTAGCCCCCCCCCAACACCGTGGGAGTTAGTTCTGAGTAACTTAGATTTATCCAACAAGTAATTTTTTTATGTAGATGGGTTGGCTTTGGCATTTTTCCTACTAAGATATTTATTCAATTTAACATTCAAAATATTCTGTTCCTTAAAATGATTTCAAAAACGCGTTTTTAGAAAGCACTGTAAAAGTGCAGTCAGAACACTGAATTTCTATGCATATTTTTTAAAAATATGTACAACTGGACTCTAATAAAAGTTTAGTTAGATTGAAATCGTATTATCAAGTGAACAAATGTGGTGGTGGTTGCTATACTTTGCTATGCAGAACCAATCAGAATTGCCAAGATTAGATACTTCTGGTGATTTATGGAAGTAATTCCATTTCTGAAGCAGCATGTTCATTTCCATGGATGAATCCTAGGTGACCCCTCCCTCTCTTCAGTGCTTTGCATGAGGAGGTAGGAAGGCTGTGCTCAACCATAACTTGTCTTTTTCTATAAATTGGCAAGTTGCAGTTAATGTTAACTGTGGTTTGCCTGAAACAAGCCAACTTTAGTTTCAGGTTTTAGAGAAGTCCTAATCAATGTTGATCTCAATGTATTCACAAAGGCTTTCATGGCCAGGATCTAATGGTTGTTGTGGGTTTTTCGGGCTCTTTGGCCATGTTCTGAAGAACAACCTTCAGAACACGGCCAAAGAGCCTGAAAACCCCACAACAACCAATGTTGGATAAAACCAGCTGTAGGTAAACAAAGGGGAAACAAACTTCCAAACACCTGTCAGCTACAAGGAGGAAGAATTTTGTGAGTCTTAGGCATCCTTGGCTGTTGTTTATATGTGGTTAGTAGTACTTTAACCTAATGTGTGTGTCTGCAGTTGAACCAATGCTGGCCAGGTACATGCACAACTGAAAATAAAGCTTTTAATTTAAATTGAAGCTTCTGTCTGCTTTTATTAAGGATAATGAGGAACAAAACCAGCCCATCTGTCTCAATCCGACTAATGATCATTGTTGATGAGCACAGTATAATCAACCAGTTTGTTGTAATTAATTCTATCAGTGGCCATCTTTTTCTTTTTAGTACAATGCTGAAATGAGACACAAATCCATTATTTAAAGAGCTCCAAAATGTTTTATGCACTGATCATAACTATTGATGGAAAGATAAACTCTTCAGGCTGTTTTCAGACAAACACTGCAAGATATCTAGAGTTTGCAAATTGTGGTGGCGCTGGAAAATCAGAAACAGTAGCTGATTTTTGGTCCAGTCACTATGGGATTAATTTCTGAATTGCCAAAAGAGAGAAAGAAAGAATTGATGTTCAAGATATTCCCAGTCTTTCTCTAGCATGTATTCATATATGAGCGAAACCTTAAGAGTGTTTATGCAGACGTAAGTCCCACCACAGCTCTTTTGGTTTGTTTGGTGGGCCCTTCCCGCTTCTTTAGGATTGTAGCCTGAAGTATGTTGTTGAGGTTTTAGGTTTGGAGGCTCCCTTGGACTCCCCTTTTGCCCTGGGGAAGCCTTTGGGAGCCTCAGGGTAGGGAGGAGTTGCCTTTAAAAGGCGAGGGTAGCCACCACTGAGATTGGGATCGCCCCTGCTGATCTGGTGGCCACTTTTGACATTTAAAGCTCTCCCTCACTGTAACCTAAGGCTGGCTCCCTGAAGACTTTGAGTCCAGGGGAGCCTCAGAACAAAGGGGGCTGGGTGGGGGGATAGAAGCTTTTCATTAGTGTAAGTTAAATGTTCTCTGTATCAGGGCAATCCTGTCTGTTTTATCTGCAAAATGTTATGCCCTTTGAAAGTGAGGTGGAAGAACTTTAGGTAAAAAATCCCATTTAATTTTCCTCTCATGGAAATGTGTTAGCTATTTCTCAAGCAAATGTTGATATCTGTTCTTTGTGCTAAATGGGACTTCTCCACTAGATGGCCCCATAAACTTCTGAGGGTCTGTCCGGAAACCTAGCTTGGGTTATAATAAAGTGAATCAGAGTCTAGCTATTGACTATTGTGGGAACAACAACCACAGCCAAGACCCGATCTCTAATCCCATCAAGTGTGTTATTTTCTTTGGATTTCTAATCTGCTCGTGCTTCCACTCTATAGCATGAGGTAGGCAGCATCCTAGACAAGTGTGTGTCTTCCACATTGATTTACAACTGCTAGCCTAACTTGTGAGAGATGTTTTCAGAGCTCCTTACAGGAATGAATGTCTCATAGTTGCAAATATTGAAGTTTCACTGAAATGAGATGGCATGGCTGCGCCTTCTGATTACAAGGTTAGAACCTGATTAAAGATGTAGGGTCCACAAGGCTTTGTACACAAATCCTCTTGCTGATTTGTGCATGCTTAAATTAAATTGCGTAGCTCATCATGGCAAATTACTGTTAACTTTCAAGTGCCACTTACACTGTAAGCACCGACCATTTCCTGTACACTTATATTACTAAACACTTGTAGGGATTCAGCTGGCCCAGATAGTTTTAGTTCAGTCTCATTCAGTCCCCAGATTGTAGCTCAATATTTTGCTAGGCTTGAGGCTCAGATGTGATGGAAAACAGAGATGAGGACCACGTATCATTAGTGTATGGGTGTCTTTTGCCAGTGGCTAGTGGAATCACTGGCTGGTGTATAACCAGCTGCATCCACAGGATATATTGAGTGCCCTTTAATTTTTTGACTTGGGTATATGAGGACCTCAACTATGTGATGCTTTCATTCTTTACTTCTGTTGCACTTATGCAGTGGAATTCTATGCATGTTTATGTAGAAACATCTTTTGCTGAGTTCGTTGGCGGCTGGGACAAAAGGAATTTGAATACTTATAAGTAAGCTAGTTTTTCATTCTCTCCTTGGGTATCCTTATAAAAGTTTTAGATAAGTTGCTGCACCCAATGTTTGGTGGTTCCTGTAACCATTTTATACACATGGGGAGCTAAGGCTGAGCATGTCCTGCCAAAGGACATTGGGGAAATCTGTAACTGAATGACCAGGGTGTGTGGGTGACAGCTCAATGTGCCATTAATCACATCGTTATTTTACCACTGTCTTCAAATCTTAAATTATAAGAGAGTTACAGTTGCAGATACTCAAGCTCTTAAAGTATAGGTTTTGAAAGGAGATCTTGGTTGTCTAGCCCAGTGGTTCTTAACCTTGGGTTACTCAGGTGTTTTTGGACTGCAACTCCCAGAAGCCTTCACCACCAGCTGTGCTGGCTGGGGTTTCTGGGAGTTGCAGTTCAAAAACACCTGAGTAACTCAAGGTTAAGAACCACTGGTCTAGCCATTGGGTCACTTGTAGAGCCCAGAACACAGCATTATGTAGGAAGGTGCAAAAGCCATTCTGCCCTTTTTACTGTGCTTTGCTTGTTTGTGAACTAAGAAACCTATTATGTTTCTTTTTTTTTAACGAGGACAATATTTCCTTCACAAAATCGCCTATCTGTCTCTCTGAGTATTCTACAAAGAAATTTTAAACAGCCTCCTGTCTTGCCAAGAAGTGTTTGAATATGATGGTGTAGAAGAGAAATTCAACATTCTACAGGATGTTATAGTGAAGTTTTAGGGGGAATCGAAAGATTCTGCACTGAAAGGCTTCAAGGGGTCTTATTTATGAAAGTCTCATAAGAGTACAACCGTTTGCCCTATCAGAAAGTTTGGACTGCCGTTCTGATCATCACTTACCATTGGCCAACTCAGCAAGCTGCAGTAGAGAGCTGAAGGTTCCCCACTCCTAATGTATAAAACAGTTTACTTGGCTGTGCCTTCGCCTGGCCTTGAGCGTGACTGTTTTGCACTCATTCAGAGTTCATGTAGAAAACATATATTAAGTATATCATAAGTGCCAGTATGTGTCATTTTCGAAGAACTTCTATGCAAAGAAATGCTATTTTTGGTGTTGTGGGGGATAGCTGTTTGCCTGTTTCAGGACGGGTGTAAATTGAATAGATCTAATCTCCCTCCTTCATCTAAAATATTTTACTAGATGTCCCTGGTAGATTTGGGAAAGAAGCTTTTAGAAGCTGCACGAGCAGGACAAGATGATGAAGTTCGCATTTTGATGGCCAATGGTGCACCTTTTACTACAGACTGGGTAATGAGAATATATTTTTTAAGTCATGGTGTTGGTTATATGCTTGTACTGTTTGCTTTTTCACACCTGTCTCAAACAATCACTTTGAATTAATTGAAGTAATAATGCCAGAAATAAGTATTATGTGTGTACATGAAAATTATGTGACAAGAAACAGTCCTGCTCCATCTCTATCTGGCTTCTGAAATTTTATCCAGCATTGAACACAACTTTTAAATTGCATTGGTGAAGCCATTAGGAAGGTTAAAAGTAATAATTCAGAAGCTTTGCTATTTATAGCATTTTTATATGCTTAAAGAACTTTACATCCTGCTGGGTTGCAGGTTACTGAAGCCACTCCATTGGCAGGATGAACCAAGCATGAGCAAATGGACTGCCTAAGCAGCATGCATATTTCCTTATGAATGACAGGATAGGACTGTTTAGAAGTCTTACCTACAGTTTCATATAGGTAGGTGTGGTCATCGGGGATGATACATGAGATCATGAGTGTAGCTGTAAGCTTGAGCATAGCTGTGACCTCAACACCAGAGTTGGTTAGAAACTTAAGATTTTTGCTGATGTCTGTTTTAACAAAGAAATTAATCATTTGTTCATAGTAGAAAGCATAAAACCAATTACAAAATATAATCTTCCTGCTGGTTACTTCTAGAATATCCATGAATTTTGAACTGGAGGAGAAGATACATGAATAAGAAGGGGCTCCAATTTCATGAGAAGTAGGCTGAAGACTGGTGATTTTAGGGCTAAAAGCTGGGAAATAATAGAAAGTGTATATGCACATAATGAAAACAGTGTGTGCCGTTGAATTTTGAGAAGATCACAGGATTTTGCAGGAAAATGTCAGCCTAAACCTGTTAGTTAGTTTGTTTATTTATTTAGACATACGTACGTATGTCTAAATAAATAAACCTTATGCAGTAACGTACGTACATACATACATCTTTCTCCTTGAAAAGGACTCATGGCACTTGAAAGTAAGTACAGTGTAAGGTTAAATTGAGAGTATGATAGCAAGCAAATGTCTGATCAAGTAATGTAGATGCAGTGAATGGAGAGCTGTTGCCTGACTTTCATTAACGCTCCACATCCTGTCTTTCAGCTGGGAACGTCTCCACTTCATCTAGCAGCACAGTATGGGCACTATTCAACCACGGAAGTGTTACTTCGAGCAGGTGTGAGTCGGGATGCCAGGACCAAAGTGGATAGAACTCCGTTGCATATGGCAGCTTCTGAAGGCCATGCAAGCATAGTAGAAGTTTTGTTGAAGGTAAAAAAAAAGCAATCTTGCTTGCACTCACACCACTGGCCACAGTTTTGCACAAAAGTTAAACTACATCTTGCTGGTTAGTTGACACGGATATATTTGTTCATGATCAATGGCAAGTAGAGGAGTTTTGCTAAACAGATGAATTAAACATTAAATTTGGCTTTGTTTTTTAATCTTGTAATGGATTTGATCAAGATTTTGGTCTTTGCTTTAATTATAGCACGGGGCTGATGTCAATGCAAAGGACATGCTGAAGATGACTGCGCTTCATTGGGCCACGGAACACAATCATCAAGAAGTAGTGGAACTCTTAATAAAGTATGGAGCAGATGTCCATACACAAAGTAAATTTTGCAAAACTGCATTAGACATTGCTATAGACAATGGTTTTGAAGACCTGGCAGAAATATTACAGGTAAATTGAAAGACGGGTTCGTGAAGCTTCTACTGTTGCTGAATGGTCTCACCTCAGTGCATAGACTTCTTCATAAATTCTGTTGAGTATCCTTGAGATTAAGGGTTAGCCTAATCTCTGAGAGCCTTGTAACTGCTTTGAACCATGCTAACATGTTTGTGTTTTAATATCTCGTTTTCTCCTCCATGTGTATAGAAATAAGTTGTTCTTGTTGCCTTCTGTGTTATAGATTGCTATGCAGAACCAAATCAACACAAACCCAGAGAGTCCTGACACTGTGACAATACATGCAGCCACTCCGCAGTTCATCATTGGACCTGGTGGAGTAGTGAATCTAACAGGTCTGGTACCTTCTACAAGTACAAATACATCTGATACGACAGGTATTTAGATGTACAGGGTGTTGCAAATGGTGCAGTTCATCAGAGCTCCTAAGGGATAAACTAATTATAAGGATACTGCAAGTACACACTTTGTTTCCAATGGTGTCTCGTAGTACTGCAGTTCTTAATGTCATTTCAGATTATGAGAAGTAGCTTTAATACAGCTTAAAGCTTGCTTTTAGGATCATAGTTTTGATATTAATAAAACCTATTCAGGTGCTGTAGCATGAAAGTGTTGAGGCAGTAATCATGACGGGGCAGGGGTGAGCACCTTGGCCCCCTTCTGTGGAGTTATTTTAGATCTTATGCAGTAATTTGCTAGTGAAGTAAATGGGAAATTGTTTGTGCAGAAGTTGCTTGAGAACGGAGAACACAATTTTCTTGCACCTGCATCTTAAAAGTAATATTTATGGAAGCTTCCAAGTCAGGTTTTGATTGAATATGTCTTTTCTTTCAGATGATACAGGAGTGTCTGCTGTCCAGTTTGGCAATTCCTCAACTTCGGTGTTAGCAACTTTGGCTGCCTTGGCGGAAGCTTCAGCTCCATTGTCCAACTCATCAGAAACGCCAGGTAAGGAAAAATAAGAGTAATGACCTGCTTGAAAAGGATACACTTTCCCCCCTAAAGTAAAGACAACACCACACATTTGTTTGGTAGCTTCATTTTTAATACCCTGAATTCAAGATATCATCACTCAAAAGATCCCCTTGGTCTCCATTGGTAACCTTTTGGAGGAGATCCTACCCCAAAACAGAGCAAGAATGGCTATAACCCCAGCTTGAATCACAGTTCGCTGCCAAGGAGCCTATCAGCCACTGACTGTATTCTCTTCTCTTCCCAGCTACAGAAGGTCTGTAGGCCAGCTAATGAGCTACTCTGCTCTCATCATCTATTTGTAAAGAAGGCCTTGACGTCATCCTCTGTAGTTTAGTCTCTTTATGCAGCAGGAGAAAAGGATATGCTATTGACCTTTTAACTTGCATTATTTAAATACTGCTTGATATAATAAAATCTTTAAGCAGTGAAATTAATATTATTCCAGTGTAAATGAAGCCACTTGAAACTGTTCAGACATCCCCAACAACCAGTACTAAAACAGTATGGTCATAATTGCCAGTGGCCATCAAATGTCTGCATAGGCATACAGGTTTCCCATAGGAAATACCAGAGGTTTTCCTATTTTGACCATTCTGTTGTGTAGACCAACTGCATTTCAACAAGTACTTGCTGGCAGACCTAGTTCCAAATTCTTCTCAAGCTGTTTGCTGAATTACTTCTTATATTACATGCTATCAAATCACATTTGACTTGTGGTGGCTGTAATAGGGGTTTCAATATGTGGTTTCATCATTTCTACTTAAATTTTCATGGCCAAGCAGGATATGAACACAGGACTCCTCTGAGACTTTGTTCATCACTGTACATTATCTAGTATACTACACTGGTTCTCAAGTACTTCAGGGCAGAACCTTCTTTAATACAGTTGCTTCATTAAAAGTTCACATGATATGGAAGATATACATGGTATAACATTGTGACTCTTCTGCAGCCTACTAATAGATACAGTGGTGCCTCGCTTAGCGATGTTAATCGGTGCAGCAAAAATCGCCGCTAACCGAAAACATCACTAAGCGATTTTTAAAAGCCCATAGGAATGCATTGAAACCCTTTCAATGTGTTCCTATGGGCAAAAAATTTTGGGCAAAACATGTACTTTTAAGCGAAAATCGTCCATACGGCGGCCATTTTTTCTGCCCGGTATGCGAGGAATCCGTCCCAAAATACAGTGGGCGGCCATGTTTTTTACCCAGCGGCCATTTTGGAACTGCCAGTCAGCTGTTGGGAAAACATCGCTATGCGAAAATCGGTAAACTAAACAGCTTACCGATCATCGCAAAGCGATTTTTTCCCATTTAAAACGCGAAAATCGTCCATACGGCGGCCATTTTTTCTGCCCGGTATGCGAGGAATCCGTCCCAAAATACAGTGGGCGGCCATGTTTTTTACCCAGCGGCCATTTTGGAACTGCCAGTCAGCTGTTGGGAAAACATCGCTATGCGAAAATCGGTAAACTAAACAGCTTACCGATCATCGCAAAGCGATTTTTTCCCATTTAAAACACCGCAATGTGATCACTTTTGCGATCACAAAAACCAAATCGCTATGCGATTTTGTCGTTAACCGGGGCGCTCGTTAAGCGAGGCGCCACTGTATTTGTAAAACCACTTGGGCTTTACTTTTACTTTATCATTTAAATTTTGTTAACTTATATTATGTCCCTGAGCCTCCCTACAGACCAAGAATTTAATTGGGGCTTGAACTCTTTCTTCGACATGTTATAAATTCCACAATAACATTTATAGCTTATTAAGAGTACATTACTTATAAGTTTTACAAGTAAAAGTTTCAGTGTGAGCCTCGTGACGCAGTGGTTAAACTGCTGTACTGCAGCCAAAACTGTGCTCATGGTTTGGGGTTCAATCCCAGGTAGCCAGCTCAAGGTCGACTCAGCCTTCTATCCTTTAGAGGTTGGTAAAATGGGTCCCCAGCTTGCTGGGGGGGGGGCAATGTGTAGTCTGTATAATTAACTTGTAAACCACCCAGAGAGTGTTTGAAGCACTATGGGGCGGTATATAAGCAGCACGCTTTTTGCTTTGTGTTTGTACACATTTGTCAGGACATAATTTACTTCCCCTCCGCAAAGCCTTGAAAAAAAACTAGTGTTATTCTTATAATAATGCTAAAAATACTCTAAAGGGAATATTTGTAATCATTGCATAAGTCAAATGATCATTGTAAACAGGAATATAATTAGTGGCAAAGATGAAAGCTTCTGAGTTGTATCTGATCTCTGACATTTCTGATATCATACACTGTAGTTTTAGATTGAAAGCTTTCTGGTGGCCATCCCATTTTCTGTAAACTTCAAAGCTACAGATTTTAATAAACCATTGCTTGAATTTAAATATAGCAGTCTGAATTGACTCTGCCTATAATACTCTTGGTCAGTGGTCCCCCACCCCATTATTTTTCCTCCAGTTAAAAACAGAAAGATAGGTGGAGCCTTCTAAGAGTAGCTTAAGAAGCTAGTATAAAATACCAAAGACATGAAACAAAATATATTGCTGCATGTATACATAATGTCAAATAATATTGGTCGGTATAATGCAGATTTAAAGCATGATTAGCCAAAGCACAAGATCTCTTAAGACTTTCATAAAAGGATTCTTTGGTCTCAGATGAAATCCTAGCGCCATTGAAATTGGTAACAGAATACTTGAGTAGGATCATTGTTTCAGGGGTCTTCTCAAGAGGTATAGCAAATACTGGAAAATTAAAAATTTCCTTATTAAAGTTGTAATTTGTTATTTTTAATAGCTAATAGTTATTTTTTGTTGATAGTTATTTTTAATGGATTATTTTGTACTCTACTAATGCATGCACACATACACCTTAATAACATGGTTAAGTTTGAGTTTGCCACTGCCATCTAAAGTTCATGTGAAGTCAGACTTCAGCATCCCAGCATTTTGGTCCTTCAGTGTCTGCGCTGGCAGGCTGAGATTTCTTACACACTAGATTTCCTGTCAGGAGTTGGGGTTAAAAAAGAGAAGACTTATAATGCTTTAGCTGCAGACCTTATTGGCAATCAGAGTGCCGTGGGTAACGTGTGTATCAAATTTATGTGTTTGTTCATTTGCTATTTTCAACATTTTTACTTCACTCTTCCCCTCAAAAAAGGTCCCAGAGCAATTCACAAATGTCAGGAATAAGGCAGTTGTTGCTTGCAGGCTTACCTTAACACAGCAGAAAAGGAAAAGGACTTGAGGAGGAAGAGCGAAATAGCAAGCTTAGGCACTAGATTTTTGGCTGCAAAGTTCATCCATAAATAGCAGGAGGTCAACAATTAAAAATGCTTATCTTGGCTAATGGAGCCACAGCATCTTTCTCTGCTCTAGCTAGTAAATTCAGTTTGCCTTAATTTGGGTGCCTGCCTGAAAACTGTGAGTAAATGTATTACATTGCTGGGGCGAGGAAGTTCCATTCTCCTGTCATGTTTATGCCAAGGCATTCAGATATAGGAAGCCATGAAGAAGGTTTCGCCTCCAAACAATTATACTGTACTACTTTTTGTTACATTTGAGTAGAAGAATTGTGAGCTTATGAAAGTTGGACATGCCTTTTGTATGAAAAGTGCAGTAACCTCTTCTGTCAGGAGGAAGCTCACAGATAAACATCGTATGCTTTATTTAACAGTTGTAGCTACGGAAGAAGTAGTGACGGCAGAATCGGTGGATGGTGCAATTCAACAAGTTGTAAGTTCTGGAGGTCAGCAGGTGATCACCATAGTAACAGATGGCATTCAGCTTGGAAACCTCCATTCTATTCCGACAAGTGGAATGGGCCAGCCCATTATTGTAACCATGCCAGACGGGCAGCAAGGTGAGCTGAAAGACAGGAAGAGGGATAAAGGAAATCCACTTTTGAAAACAGTCATAAAAACATGGCTTGTGTGGCACTCACTTCAACATTCAAAATAATAACCTGCAAATGAATTTGGGGGGAAATAGGAAAGAAGGTTGAATGTAACTAGAGATAAAAAGAGTTCAGAGGGAAAACTTGCAGGTGTTTTACATTCAGTTTCCAAAACAAGAAAAAAAAGTTACACATTTCTTCAAAAAACAGGTTGTTTTGAGCCTTGCCCTGCTATTTTTAAAGGCACCATATTGAAACCATTGTGTTATCTTGGTAGACAATAACATGATTTTCATCATCTGTTGTCTTGCAGTTGCTAATTCTATTACTATTGTGGCTGTTTTTTAGACTGAATGGTTTAATTTGAGTAGGTTTCATATAATCCTATTTTCTTCTGAGTTGAAGCTCTTAGAAGGAGAAAAATGGGGACGTCTGATGACCAGGACAAGCTGTAGCCAGCGTTCCTTCTCAGCTGTGTGGGTACACAATGCTCCACCAGGGGTACGCAGCTGAGTGGATATTCCTGCATGCAGGGGGCAGAGCCTCCACGCAGAGCCCCCGAGAATTGGAGCGAACGTTGGCTGCAGAAAAACATGCTTCCTTCGGGGCACCTCGGAGGAATAGCTGTTGTTGACATTTTAATTAACCACAGCTTGTTATTCTACCTCTGTGTGAGCAGAATATTTCAGTCTTAATTATAATTTACTTGAAACCAGCCAGCTTCAAATCATGGGTTAATGAATCTGTCTTATTTAAACAAGTTAAATGAGATTAACCTTAGTCTAGGGTCCAGGCCTATCTGTTAAAGCCGAGGTGGACAAAGATCCAGCCTTCAGCTAGTGCTGAGGAATGCTGGGAGCCACTCTTCAACAACTGGACAGTCACATTTTAACCACACTTTAGACCAGAGGTAGTCAATCAACAATGAAAGCTGAGGCAATAAAGATTCCTGTGACACTATAAAGACTGATGAGTTTTGTTGCAGCATCCAGAGGCAGACAATGCAATCTTCATGTTTTTGATACCACCTTCTCTAATTTCCAGTCCTTACAGTACCAGCCACAGACATTGCAGAAGAAACAGTCATCAGCGAAGAACCGCCAGTGAAGAGGCAGTGCATTGAGATAGTTGAAAACCGGGTGGATACAGCAGAAATAGAAGTAAGGACTCTGTTAGTTGAGATGTTTTGTTCAGATTTTCTGAACTGAATGTTTACTTCCTTTTGTATTTATGGTTACAGTGTTTCAGTAACCAGAAAACAAGTGATTACAAACTTGTTACTATGTTTGTATCTAATGTCTTTGTTATGGTAGAATTGAGTATGAATGTTCCATTCAGTATGGTTTGCAGCCTGGAGACAAACAGATTTGAATAGAAATAAGTAATTTGTCTAAAGAGGCTCCTTGTTTACAATCTGTATAAAATTTGGGCGTTCTTGAAACAACTAGATTTACTTCCACTTTGATCTTTATTTGGATCAAAAATCTGCTCACACTGGCACTGTTACAGTAATGGTAAATCACAGTGTTTTCAAATGCGTGCATCATTATCGTATACCATACCATACCTTATGTACAGTCTAGAAGGCTTTTTTCATTATGCTCATTCAGTACACATTGTCATCTAGCTATTTTATTTCATTTCTCTTAATGTGGCGTCACAAAAAATCTCATTCTTTTATGGTAAGAGTTTTAGTGTAGATTTTTTTCTGTATGGGCAACATTTCACTCTTACCGTAATTAAAAAAAGTTTCTGTTTATGCATTAAATAGCAGTCTGGTTGTTTTTTTTTTAAAATAAGCTTCTTGAATAAGCATATTTAAGTGTAGTCTGCCCATAGCAACAAGATTTAGATGGGCATGAAAGAGAGAGCTGTCTATTTAAAATTAATTAGAAATTTCCCTTTGGAATGGTCTCTGGACGTGGAGTATTTACAGAGTCTTCTGTTCTCAAAGAGCAGCTCTCAGGGTCACAGAAGATTATGCCTTTCCCAGATGCCCCTGTATCTATCAGTACCCTTGTCACTTTTTAAAATGCATCTGCTGCTTCACCGTCATATAAATGACACACTGGTTTTGGCTTTATGTATGCTTAGAAGTAGTTTTTATTAATAGAATCATAGACCCCTATCAGTGTCTGTGGTACTTTGAAGAGAGGAGCAAGCAAAACGGCAGTCTCCTGCCCCAAGGAGTTTGCAATCTTGTGTTTTGAAAAGTGGTGAGGACCACAAATGGTAGGTCAGAAGGGAGAAGGAAGCTAGGAGTCCTTAGAGAAAGTTGGGAAGCTTTTGATGTCACTGACTAGAACAAAGCCATTTCCTAGGCAATTACTTTCAATAGAGTAGGAAGGTTTTTGGAGTCATGGGAGAGAGCAACGTTTCATGAAAGGATAATTTGCCTTCACCCAACATTTCCTCTGAGATACCAAATGTAGGATGTAGGAAACGTTTCTTGTTTGAACTTGAAACACACACACCCCCGGCCTCTTTGATCATAAGGCTATTTGTGGTCATTAAATAAAAAATAATGTAAATTTGCTTAGACCCTCAGTTGAATAGCTGAGTGTGTTGTAAAATAGGTCAGGGAGGGGTCATTTAGTAGCCGGTGGCATATCTGATGTCTCATAATCCTCTGAAAGGACTGTTCTCCAAACAGGTTGATTTATTTAAGCTAGGATCACAAATGCCTCGATGCCCTCAAGTCAAATCTGGCAAAGGCATACTCCACCCCTGCAAAATCACAGACTTTTAATACCCAAATCAGAACACGTGCCAATCACAGACATCATTTCGCTGAGGCATTACCAATTACAGTTTGTGACTTTCTAAGCTGGAACATATTGACAGTACATATTTTGGTTAGGGACTGATGTCTGATTAAGTGATTCTTAACATCCTGTTGTAGTGATTAATTTCTGTGCTTAATTTCCAGACTGCCACAACAAGTTCTCAGTAGCATCTTGCTCAGAAGCTTAAATTTTGCAGGCTAGGTTAAACTCTATATTCCATGTGCCTGTTATTAATACATTTCTTGATTAATATGGTTAATTAAAAAAACAGTTTCTAACAGTAGAAAACAGCTGGTAAAAAATAGTTGAGTATCAGCATATGGGAGCTTAGAACATGAAAAGCAAACACTGCTTAAGCTTTTCATGTGCATAATAGATACTAGAAAGATAGCATTTGGGCTTTTGAATAACTTTTTGTTTTTTAAAAATGCAAATTATTAAGAGTGATTTCTGAGTCCATGGAGTGAAAGGGGCGGATCACTGCCCACTGACAGCCGAGTCATATATATGAAGGGTGATAAAACAGACCAGGAACGAGTTCTGAATAGAATTGCAGCATCTGAAGAGTTAAAAGCAAGTGAACAGCATTAGCTGTTTTCAGTGGAAATAGGGAGCCGTGCATCCTGCCTGCACTGCTGGCTGCCTCCTTCCAGGATTTTTGCTAGCATCATATTCAAAATACTTCTGCTTAATTCTGATGCTTTGCCCTCTTCTTTCTGGGAAGCTAGTAAAATTGGATATCAGCCAGCTTTATTTGACAACAGCACTGTCCTGTCCCTAAAGCACTCAACATTTTGACTTAAGGCTCAGAGATCCTTCGTTGGTTTCAGTGCAGTCATCCTTCAGTTTACTTGACAAGAAGCTGGACATCACAGAATAGAATCTGGTGCTGTCTGTGTTTGCTGTAACAGACTTACCCTGGTTTATCCCCTGGGAAATTAAGTCATAAACCAACAGTTGATACACACTTTTCAAGTGATACCTGTTTTGACAAGGCCTGTGTTTTTTCTTACTTTCATAGGAAAGAGAAACTTTACAAAAGCAGCTGGATGAGGCCAATCGAGAAGCGCAGCGGTATCGCCAGCAGCTTCTGAAGAAGGAGCAGGAGGCCGAGGCTTATAGGCAGAAGCTGGAGGCCATGAACCGTCTCCAGACTAACAAAGAAGTTGTCTGAACAGTTGGAACAAGAGTGTCTGCCTATGAAGCCAGTAAAGAAAACTGCTGTACAATCTGGACTTCTGTGTGTCACGTAGGCACAGACCTTGGATTAGGCGCTAGAGAAGATGCTACAGGTTTGAAACTGGACTTAAAGCCATGAGTTCTGGTGAATTTCTTGTATCATATTTAAAAAAAGCCCTCAGAGTTTAGACATTTTGTGCACAAATATTTAAAAAGAAATACTGTAAATAGTTGTTTTTTTACAGTTCCAAAATTAGTTGTTTAATCTTTTTGAAGGGATCTGCAAACATGCAAAGCCAATGTTTTTCTGTCCTTTTTGATTTTAGTACAAAACTGCAGAAATACAGAACAGTTTTAAGGGTAATAACTTGATTTAAACTGGCTGTGTGAAAATGAGTTATGTCATGGAACTGGCCCTGAAAGCTGGAACTTGGACTTCCAAGCAAATACATTTCCAGATGGAGAACCTTTGTACAGATATAAGTAGTTGTCCAGTCTCCAACCTCCCCCTTTTTTAGAAAAAAAGTGTAATTTTTTATATTTAATTTCTGCTATATCCAAGTAGATTGACATGTATATGAAGCTGATATTTTTTAAACTCTTCAGTTTGTACATATGCTGCATGTTTTTTATAATTTCTATATACATCTAAGTATTTTTAAGGAAAGGAGGGAAAATAATGAGGAAGTTGTTTAACCTATAGGTCACAGGGGGATGCGGGGAGGGGGAAGCAGACTGGCTCTTGGCTTTTGTGTTTTGTTTTTAAGCGGGAATAACATTTCTTGGAGGAATGTAACTTGGGAGGAGGAAACCCAAACTAGTATTTATGTAATATATGAATTATTTGAAATTATTACAATTGGAGCATGAATTGACATTTCCAGTGTGTCTGTAATAAATCTGAGCCATGTTTCTGCTGGTGGAGACTGAGTTGACAAACCAGGTGTCTGCCAGCTGTTGCTCAGCTTGCTGCCCGCTTCCGTGCTGCCACTGGCTCTTCGCAGGTTGCTCACGTTCCAGTGCTGTAAAAGAGGTGAATGCAAGGAGCCCTCTGACCTGGGGTGGGAAATCCTCTCTCAGTAATCTGTAGATGACCAACAGAGTGACACTTTGTAAGCGGCGTATCATTGTGACTGACCCAGAGCAGACATCCGTGAATTACACTCGCAGAGCGATTGGCCACGTCTGTGTTTACAAACAGGTGTGCCATCAAGGCAAGTGCTGGGCAGTTTTCAAGAAAAGGCTACAGGTCTGAGGATCACCTGGCCAGCATGGCCTGTGCTGGAGTATTTTTGGAGTTGTGGTCCAAAAAAATAGCCTTGCCAAGCTCTTAAGTCAAAGTGGAATCATGTGAGCTGTACAAATTACTTGCAGAGGGTGGACAAAATGATGGTTAAGAATCCGGAGCGATGTCATAATCCCCTTCTCTGCATGGATCAGCAGTCTTGAGTTGTCTCTTGTCCTTTAGCCGTTCTTTCTCAGGGTGGCAGCTTTCCCTCTCCTCCTTACACCAAGGACAGGAACCGGTGGGCCCAGAGGCGGCTGTCTTGCCGTCTGCTACTTCCCCAAAAAGACAGGAGGAGCAGGAGAAAGACTTGGTGTCACTTCAAGCATGCTGTTTTGTTCTTTCTGCCCCACTACTCCTGTGATCTCCACTTTCTCCATATATAGCACTGGAAATTATTTTCCTGGTATTCTCACCACTGCAAACCAACATTTCCCTAATCATGAATTCTGGAGAGTTTTCTGCACTTAGAAATATGCAATGAAACACCAATATTTTCAAGGTTTTTTTGTTTTGCTGTATTGATCTTAACTTCACTTTCGGTTATTTTTGATGGCTGTGGATATGTGCTTTATAAAAACATGATACTTCAGCATTTCCAGTGTATAATGCTTTAAGTTTTTGAAGCATTGTAATTTCAGTAAATGGGTGGGTGGGGGTGCGGTGCTAAGTTCCCTTACACATAAGAACTTTCCGGTTGCTAGAAATAAGTGTCTTTGGAAATTGGGACCCTAATTTTTAGCAACCTGTGGGAAGTAGGTAAGTAAGCACTTGATTCCAAACTGGAGTTAAGGGGGGAAACAAATGTTAGTTGACATATTGAGGGTTTCACACCTCATCTGTGCTCTGTATGTGCAGCAGAAGGAGAGGATGATGGGTCTGGACTGCCTCAGATTGTTGCCCTTTTTGCATGCAAGAAAGAAACAGTCTGTCAGGAGAAACAATCCTGGCCCAGCAGTCTCTCTGACATCCTAACTACCTGCTTGGCATGGAAGCAACCCACAACCAAGAGAAGCGTTCAGAAACGTATGACACTTAGACCTTCACTTAGACCATTCTGCCTTAAAGATTACTGAGTGCTACACTGCATTACACTTCAAACTTCTGTGCAGCTCCTTTGTTTCAAAACGTACCTTGTATTTGATTTGTGTTTTGCTGTGTCTTTGTTTTACTGCTTTTATGAAATGTATAACTTTATAAATCATCTAGATTACTTATAAAAATAATTGCCCTTAAAACTGTACTCTGGCCTACTTTTTCTATTTACAATTAAATATCTTTTCCACAAATAACAGTGTTAGTTCACTTTTTTATACTGCTTGTATTTTACCAGATGAATAGGTATGAACCCTGCAGTAAAACTGTGCATTGTTATCTTTGCTTCCCATTCGCTCATGTTACACCAGTGCTTTGTGATCTCCACTGGCTTTCAGTTTGTTCTTGGGCCCCACCTCAAAGAGCTAGTATTAACCTTTGAAGACTTTCAGCATTATAGCTCATTGGCTAAAATCCGGTTGCACAGTTTTGTGAAAAGTGTCACTTTTAGAGGTGAATAGTCATAATTTAAGAAATCTCTCATGCAACTCATTGTGCAATAGATCATGTCTTAGGATATTTCTTAACATTCAGCAATTTGCCTTTAGAAGGTATGCCTTTTGTGTTAACTACACAACAGGATTTTGGCCATTGTATTTTCAAGGAAATGTTTCACTCACCTCGTAATCTTTTGGAGCCCGTTTTCTTTATATTTCCCATTGGGGGGGGGGAGATGAGATATAAATCAAATACCTACATGCACCTGTAAGGCAAACTCAGTCTCCTGGCTTCAGGCAATAATGAAAATGGTTAAATGGGCTTTTGAAGACTAAACAGAATTGAACAAAAGTGTTACACAAAGGTGCCAGAATAGGCAACAGCTGACAAAAAATAATCAGTAAAACAGATTTAGTGTGAAACAAAGGAGAGAGGATAACAACAGAATATATAAGGGTGTACATATCTGTCACTTCTTCCATCCCTTGTTTTCCTAACCAAAATGGCCTCCTGTATTACTCCACTTCTTTGTTGCTCCAGTTTCTGGATCATTTTGGTTGCTCTTTTATGTGGCTTAGATTGCAATTGCTGTTTAGTCGTAAAGTCGTGTCCGACTCTTCGTGACCCCATGGACCAGAGCACGCCAGGCGCTCCTGTCTTCCACTGCCTCCCGGAGTTTGGTCAAATTCACATTGGTCGCTTCAATGACCCTGTCCAGCCATCTCATCCTCTGTCGTCCCCTTCTCCTCTTGCCTTCACACTTTCCCAACATCAGGGTCTTTTCCAGGGAGTCTTCCCTTCTGATGAGATGACCAAAGTATTGGAGCCTCAGCTTCAGGATATGTCCTTCCAGTGAGCACTCAGGGATGATTTCCTTCAGAACGGATAGGTTTGATCTTGCAGTCCAGGGGACTCTCAAGAGCCTCCTCCAGCACCACAATTCAAAAGCATCAATTCTTCGGCGGTCAGCCTTTGTTGCAATTGTACTTACCAAGAAATCTACATATCCACTGTAGATTTCTTGGCAAGTACATACATTATACAGTATTTGACCAGCCACATCTCAGATTGAAAATGAATGGCCATATTGCCCAGCTTTGGATGTCTGTATTTGAAAACAATCACTGTTGCTCTTTGGGTTAAGATGTCTTCCTGATTTACTGTGAGCTCCTATACTGCAAATAGTTGATACAGTCAACAGCAGCCCATTCCCTCAGATTTTAGGACTTTGGAGAATGGACTCCAAAATCTGAATCTCTGTGTCAAAAGCAACTGACCTTAGTCAAAGCCATTTTTGAAAAAGATCACAGAACTTATCCAGTATATGAAAGGTGGGAGGACTGAGGATCAGTGACGTTTTTCACTTAACAACAAACGTCTGGTGTTCGTATAATGGATTGGACGCATCCACTGCCATATGGAGATTTCCCAAGGCTTTGACGCTGCAGATCCTCTTGGCAATGAAAAAATAATAATGCTATTTCTATTCATACAGCTGTCTATGAACAAATAGGTCTCCTGGCTGAAATTGGGGCCCACTCAATCCAAGCACAAGATAACCATAACAAAACAGTTGTTTGCACCAAGTCGTGTTTGCCAAGACTCCATTTTGATCCCCTCTATCTCATTTGTTCCTTTTCTGAACAAAGGTCTGGTCATATTTGTTCACTCCCATTGCATTTTGTTTGTTCTTCCAAACTGAAATCGTCATTTATATCAGTGACCTTTTCCTTCGCTTTGTAGAGTTTATCTACGACTTCCTCTTTCGGAGTGCAATGTGTAAGGGCCACGCCAGTAGTACTCTGTTGAGGACATAGGCTTTGGATCCGATGTTTGTCATCCTGAAATTTTTGAGGAACTCAGAAAATGCAGGAGAGCAGTGGTTTTTAAATAATATCTTCAGTATCCAACAGGCACATAGATTGTGGTCAAAGAAGTCAACATTCTAATCCCAACTGAAATTAGCCCCATTGAATCAATTGCTGAGTGGTAGATTGACACTTTTGTAAATCCCACTGGGTTAATGTATTTACTCTAGTTAGGACTAACAGTAGAAAACTAGCCAGGTTCTTTTATAGCTGCCTCAAGAGATCAGCGGCTTCTGCTTAGAAATAAAATCCAGGTTAGAATAGTTTTGATTCAAGTATGACAGACCTGGTAGCTGGGTTAACCTAAGATATTTTGCTGCCCACCCACACTCAGTACCCAGTGTAGATTGGAGGACAACTGGGGAAAGTGGGGGCTGTTACAGGACTTCACTAAGATGCTGATTCTGATCCTCAATACAGGTTTCAGCACATCGGATAGCTCCCATAAATGCCAAACTAAAACTAGAAGGAAAACCAGAGACCTTCTTGTGTTGAATAGTAGGGTTGGCCCTGCTTTCTTTCTTGCTTTCTTTCTTTCTTTCTTTCTTTCTTTCTTTCTTTCTTTCTTTCTTTCTTTCTTTCTTTCTTTCTTTCTTTCTTTTCCCTCCCTCCCTCCCTCCCTCCATCATCTTTTTCTCCATAAATCCAATCTAGAAACCAAGTTTTTAAAAGCAAGCTTTTTGAGGGCCAGTGCAATGGGCACAGTGAAAGAAAGTCCTCACTGCAACTTAGGAAACCTTGGCTGCGAAGACTCCCTGATGGGAGGGAACGGCCCTGGTAAAACCACTCATCAAATATCTCCTATACCTTGAAAATCCTATTAGGGTCGATGTAAATTAGATGCAACTTGACCTTTCCATCCTGTTCTCAGATGTTTTCTAATCAACATTTGCTCCTCCTACGTAATCACAAAAATCATATTATGATTATATGATATCAATCCATTTTTAAACAGCAGAGTCCTATCGGCTGTTCCTGATGAAGTATCTAATCTCCGGTTTCAAAAGGAAACAGAAGGTGGAAGTGATAACCATAACTGTGCTAAATACTGAGAATTTCTTTGCCTCAAAACTTGTTAACTGTCTTTCTCCTTTCCGTGATACCCTTACCCCCCCACAGAACATACTTTTAAAGAAAGTATTAAATGTGGCCATTTCAAAAATGGCTATTCTCTAGGTCAATGGTTCCCCAACTTGGCTCCTCAGATGTGTCTGGGCTAAAACTCCCAGGAGCCTTAACCATAAATCTGTCCTGGCCAGGATTTCTGGGCATTCTAGTGCAAGAACATCTGGGGACCCCAGGTTGGGAACCCCTGCTCTAGGCGAAGCTAGAGGACAGAATTGATGTAAACGTAATGTTAAGAGCAAAAGACTGCACAGAATCTGCTATTAGTGCTTATGCTGAAATTTGCATGACTTGTTGTGGTTAACTGCAGCTAACTGATGAGGTGCTAGGTGAAATCTCAGCTTGGTGTGTATTTCCTTTCTCAGAAACAGACATTTTCCGTATCTCTGGGGTCTCAAAAAGCTATTTAAATCTGCTTTTCCAAAACCCGAGCAAATTCCACCAAAAGAAGGCAGGATTTTTTTCTTCTTTTTTTAAATTACCAAAGGCTGTACGTTAGCATGTTAATTATTTTCTCATTCAAGTTTCACTTGAAACAATGAGTTTATGTAACAATTAATGGGACACATGAAGAAAGGACATCAATTCTTCAGAAAGAGACAGATACAGAAACATTGCGACCACAATTTAGAATCTCCTTGAAATTTGACAATATATCATTTCCTACCCTCACATCTCTTCTGATTTCTTCATATTCAGCAGAGAAAATATATTTGTGCTACAGCTCGTTTCTCCTAAAGAGTGACTAATTCATTTGTGGACTTCCTTGATCTTTACAAAATATCCTTCTTCTTCCTTTGGATCCTCACATCTAAGACATGTTCTTCTGGAGAATAGCGATTATATTCCAAGGAAAGAGAGATGAAACCTAACACAACTCAAATCCCCTTTCGGGCTTGAGGTGTGTGTTTGTGTGTTTAATCAGTGTGTTGTTGGCACTTGCCTTCTGAGGTCGCACAGATACAATTCATTTCCTGCTTTCTGCCATTGTGAAAGGGAAAAAGAAGACGAAGAGGGAGGTGGCATCAATTTTCTGGGCTTCAAAGGCATCTGGATGAAGCAGATTTAGGGAGGAGCCATTAAAAGGCTCTTTCCTATGAAGTTTGCTGACGTAGAAGCTGGCACAGCAAGAGGGTGTATATATATATATTTATATATAAAGGCTCCAGAGAGCAAAAGACCAAATCATTCGTGGTCCATTCACTGAAACCGACTTTGGAAGACGGTTCTTCAAAGGAAGCACCATCATGGACCATGAGGAGTACAGACGGAGAGGTGAGTAAATGAATGGACATGGAAGAGGGTTTAACATCTTTTTGGAAGTCCTCTTGAGTTTAGGTGTCGGTCAGCAGCAATTTAATCACAACTGGACAGACGCAACTTTCTAGACTAGAAGCATTGCGTCAACTCATGGAAATCACGCCGATTCCTTGGGTCTTACTCTAGTTGTAGCTACCAATAGGACTCGGCCACTGTGTTCAAGAGAGCTTATTTCCCTCGAACGTGCATCTCGAAGGTCTGAAGGTTTGCCTCTCCTTGCCTTTTGGTGCTCAGAAGAACAAAGGTGTGGAACTGCCTTAGACTTGAAAAGTGTCGCATTTTGAGTTGACCTGGGGCAAAATGCGACAAAAGTTCTACCTATGCTGTAGTGATCCCATTGCTCCTGACCCACACCTTTGCACAGGTAGCCAAGCATGTGCAAAGTGCCCCCCACTGGGTGGGAACAGCTTTGCCTGAGCTAACACCTCCTGCGTCTTGCAGGGAAGGAGATGGTGGATTACATCTGCCAGTACCTGACCAGTGTGAGGGACAGAAGGGTCTCTCCAGACGTGCAGCCGGGTTACATGAGGGACCTGTTGCCGGCCGGAGCCCCAATCGAGCCAGAGAGCTGGGACAGCATCTTCAAAGACATCGAGAAGATCATTATGCCGGGGGTGAGTAACCAATATGCAGAATGCTGCATATTGCAGAAACCCAAGATGCATTCCTTTCAGCCCTTAATGGCCATGTTGTTCATTCCTTGACAGTGTTTATAGGAGGAGAGGCTCTGAGAATGTCTTGATTCAAGGTGTCTCAACTAATAGAGTCAGTGAGGAAGGATGATGGGAGCTGCAGAATCATTATGCATCCTAGCAATGATTCTTGCAGCCTCGGGCATCTTGCTATTTTCAGGGGCTGTTGGAAGAGGTGTCTGGAATAGCACAATAGCCTTCTGAAATACTTGCTCAAAACAAAGGTGATGATCATGAAGAATAATGTCATAGTATTGTTTTAAAAAAAAGACATGTCCACCCACACCATTATTTGAAGCTCAGTATAGCAGATTACATTCTTTCCCCCCTGTGTCAAACATGGCTTAATTTCCCAGCTGCTGTCCGTCCTTCACTGTGAGATGAACTGGGGGAATCAATGCCATCTCCTCTTTACCATGGTGTGCATTTAGTCAGTTCCACAAGTCAGACGGAAGCAGGGGCCTTTATCTAGACACCTCACATGTTTGCATTTCTGTTGTTATCATCTAGGGACACACGATGCTGTTACCAGATCTAGCACACATGGATTAAGGAGGGTGGCTCTTCCTCTTTTCTGTATAATTTTTGATGTTGTTTAGTTGTTAAGTCGTGTCCGACTCTTCGTGACCCCATGGACCAGAGCACGCCAGGCCCTCCTGTCTTCCACTGCCTCCCAGAGTTGGGTCAGATTCATGTTGGTCGCTTCGCAGACACTGTCCAGCCATCTCGTCCTCTGTCGTCCCCTGTATAATAGCTAAAGGCAAAGAAGAGTGAACTCATACAACTTTAACAATAACGCAGGAGTGGTTTCTGTAGAGGCAACCAGAGGCGGAAGGGGGTATTTTCTCTGGTGGGATCCTGTCTTGGAACTCCCCTTCAAAAGCTTGCCTGGTACCCTTATCTTTTCAGCATCATGCCAAGATCTTATTCTTCTTTTTCCACTTGCATCACGTTACACACTTTTCAGCATCATGCCAAGATCTTATTCTTTTTTTCCGACTTGCATCACATAGTCCTCCCTCAGGGATCACATCGAAAAGACCAGTGTCAAAATTCATTAAAAGAAAGGAATAATCCTGGTGGGATAATTTGGAACGGGAAGAGGAGTGTTTGAAAAAGGGGCCATGTTAGTTGGGAGCTGAGCAGTTCTGGGAGAGACAGGGAAAGATGGACTTAGACCCAGTGGCACAGGGGTGGCCCCACCATGAGGACCGAAGAGGTAGTTGTGCCCTGTGGCTGCTTGTTGGAAGGGGTCCTTTTTTTGCTCTCTTGGTGTCTCCAATCAGCATCTTCTAATCACGATGATGTCCTTATTTTCTTTGTTTCTCTTTAGGTGGTCCACTGGCAAAGCCCGCATATGCATGCATACTTCCCTGCCCTCACCTCCTGGCCTTCCCTGCTGGGGGACATGCTGGCAGATGCCATTAACTGTCTGGGATTTACTTGGGTAAATGTCATCTTTTCCCTCTTAAACAACCCCCCTTCCCCGATCTTGTTGCCCCTGAACGTTTGCTGTTTAAAAAACACAAGAGTGGTTGAGTCCTCTTTTCACAGAGAAAGTCCTGTGTAGGTTAGTTTACTCCGGTGCATAAATTCACTGGTGGTTGTCCGGCGGAGAATTTGGGGAATCCATACCCATCGGCGTAGTGAGGAGGAGGTTGGGGGGCTGGTGATTCCAGGGTCATCGCCCGTCTCTCTTCAGGCCCTCCTGTTTCCTGCGAGATGAGTTAACATCCTCACAGTAGCTGAGATGAAAAAGGGACTGCCGTCCAACGGCAGCATATTCTTGAATATTCAGGGGTTACTCCTGGATGAAGGAAGGGAAAGGCAGCTCACCTGAAACATAGTTTGGTGCCTTAGGAGCACACCTGAGCCGCAAGGGCGTTGGGGTGGTTTGGTTTGGAGCAGGTCATTAAGACCCATTCACTTTACAAAAGAGCTTCCCCCATTAGAGGTGAAAAGCGTACTTATCCTTGTGACTCTTCTTCTGTGTGGACAGGCGTCCAGCCCAGCTTGCACAGAACTGGAGATGAACGTGATGGACTGGCTGGCTGAAATGCTGGGTCTCCCAGCAACCTTCTTGCACCATCATCCAGACAGCAGAGGTGGAGGCATCTTGCAGGTAAGGGCCGAGGGAACAGGGTGTTTGATTTTCACCCGAGCAGACTCAGCTCTTTTGCCTAAGGTCTTAATCATCACTCTGTTTGGACCTGTGCACACTTCCATAGCAATGGCACGAATAGGGTAAACAGGTTGCGGAGGTCATCATCGTTCTAAGATTAAGAAGACAGCGTCCTGTCCCGGCCTTCAGCAATCCTTTGATAGAAATAACAGAGCAGAGTTTCCCCCATTGTATAAGGCTTTGCAGGGAGAACAGGGATTAGCGGCTAGCGGCTTTCCTACTGTTGCCAGACCATTAACTCTCAGCATCCTCATCCATGACCCTTCTAGGTATGGCAGCCAAAAGTTGCAATCCAAAAAACCAACCAACCAGGATGGCCCTGCCTTACTCAGAAATGATGTGCAAAGTTCTGGATTCAACGCTCCCTCTGCCTCCCCCTCTTGCATTTCTAGTCCCAAAAAGATCAAGGATCAAAGAGAGCCAGTGCGAGAGAAATCAAGAAGGCCCCTTGAAAGACGCTTCCTGTATTCTGGACGGTGGAGCCCTTAACTAGCAGGGTGTTTTTCTCGTTTCTTTCCGCAGAGCACGGTGAGTGAATCAACCTTAATTGCTCTGCTGGCAGCAAGGAAGAATAAAATCCTGGACATGAAGGTATCTCAGCCGGATACAGATGACTCGACTCTCAACTCCCACCTTATTGCTTATGCCTCGGATCAGGTAAATCACGGCACTGATTCCCTCCCACGCTTTCTTTCTCTCTGTGTGATCCTGGACATGAAGGTATCTCAGCCGGATACAGATGACTCGACTCTCAACTCCTGCCTTATTGCTTATGCCTCAGATCAGGTAAATCACGGCACGTGTGTGTGTGTGTGTGTGTGTGTGTGTGTGTGTGTGTGCGCATGCCACCACCCAGCCCTGAACATACCAGATTTTTGTCTGTTTTGGGATGCTAAAGCAGAGAGTCAGAGTTGGTTAGAGGGGGAGAATTTTTATTTATTTATTTATTTAATTGATTTATATCCCGCCCATCTGGTATATTATACCAGCAGGGAATATGAGGGACGTCCTTGGTTAAACCCACTTGTCTCAAACCCATTGGTTTGTCTTGGATTCTGTGTGTGTGTGTGTAACCTTCCATGGTATTTCAAGATGCAGGAAATGACACGAATACGTCATTCTAAACAGACAGATCCTAACCCTAATTAAGGCATGCCACCACCCGGCCCTGAACATACCAGATCTTTGTCTGTTTTGGGATGCTAAAGCAGAGAGTCAGAGTTGGTTAGAGTGGGAGAACCCACCAGGAAATAGGAGGGACGTCCTTGGTTAAACCCACCTGTCTCAAACCCATTGGTTTGTCTTGGATCCCCGATCCCATCGCTCCCAGCACTGCTTTGGGTCTAGATGTGGACTCAACGTTCTGCACCAAGAGAAGCAGGAGTTTTGACTGCCGGGAATCTGTTGCTTCTTTTCTCAGGCTCACTCCTCCGTCGAAAAAGCCGGCCTGATTTCCCTCGTAAAGATGAGATTTCTCCCTGTGGATGAACATTTCTCCTTGCGAGGTGAAACCCTAAGAAAAGCAATTGAAGAGGATCGGAGCCGTGGCTTGATGCCAGTCTTTGTAAGTTTTGTGTCCTTTCTTTCGGGTAAAGTTTCGCTCCCGACTACGGGCCGCTTCAGGCTTCTGGGATCTGTGCTGCACCCTCGTTTCTAGGGAAATAAAAGACAAAGCCTGGTTTTTATCACTCTGGAAGCCTTTGCTGGAGTAACCTGGAGGTTTTATTAAAAACAACAACAACAGGCAAGCTTAACTATGGATCTCGGAGCTTTATCATCTAGTCAGGATGATTTGACTTTCCTGATTCTCTCCTCTCCAACCCAAAGCCAGGTGGAGCAGGGATTCAAAAGACTGCCTGTTTATATATATATATATTTGGGGCTCCCATAAAGATATTCCCTACCCCCCATTTTGTATTTTGCACACAAGCCACTCCAAAAGAAAAGAGTAAGTTTTATCGCGCTGTGGTGCACACTGTAGTCCATGACTCTATCCACAGCAAGTTCAAGTCCCTACAAAACGGATGCGCGTGTCTGTTTTTCAACCGGAGGATGGCTCGTAGCCAATCCTTTGGGACCTCCACTCTCCGGAGGTACTCACTGGGCTTCCCTTTGACACGTCTTCTCCTGCCTAGGTCTGTGCAACCTTGGGAACCACCGGCGTCTGCGCTTTCGACAACCTTTCAGAGCTGGGACCGATATGTAAGTCACTGCAAGGCAAAGCCAAGCCCCAGACCCTCTCGGTGTTGACGATCAAGCAATCACTAAGCTAGAACCATCCTATTGAAGTCCAGGGGTACTTTGTTCCAACAAACAGGCGACTCTCCCATATCTCTTCCTCCTGTCATTCTATAAACTCCTACCATGCACTTCTCTGCCCACCCGAGACCGAGTGGTATTCATTGATGCCACCAAGACAACTGCTGCCTGAGGCTGAGCCCCAGATGGCATCCCCCCTTTCCCCATTGTCCCTATGGCATTCAAGTTACTTTTGCCAGTGAGACAGAACGTTCCATCCTTCCCTCTCTCCTGTTTCCTACAGAAAATTGTAATCATAACCACAAACATTCTACTGCCCTTTTACGACAACCTGCGTTAATTTCCTTGCGGCCTCTGCCTCACCCTGCCGAACAGGAGGACTGGCGTGGTCTGTAATGAGCAGGCTGTGTCCTGAGATAGTGAATTTTCACAAATGCCACCATTAATTCTTTCTTTCTTTCTTTCTTTCTTTCTTTCTTTCTTTCTTTCTTTCTTTCTTTCTTTCTTTCTTTCTTTCTTTCTTTCTTTTAGGTGCCAAAGAAGGACTCTGGCTTCACATTGATGCTGCCTATGCTGGAACAGCATTTCTGTGCCCAGAATTCAGGGTGTTTCTGAAAGGAGTCGAATACGCCGATTCCTTCGCTTTTAATCCTTCCAAATGGATGATGGTTCACTTTGACTGTACCGCGTTCTGGTGAGTGGGAGATAAATAAATCTGTCGACATATCTGAGATGCCAAGTCTGTGTAATCCTTCCTAATTATGATTTCTCCTTCTTTTTTCGCACTAGGGTCAAAGATAAACACAAGCTCCAGCAGACCTTCAGCGTTAACCCGGTTTATCTCAGACATCCTAACTCTGGTTCAGCTACTGATTTCATGGTGAGTCGTAAAGCAATAGGAAGCGAGGGCGACATTGGTCCAGAAGAGAACCACACTGGTCTCTTGGGTGGTCCTGATCCCCTGATTCAGAAGGGAATAATCTCATTTTAACCCATCCCTCTATTCTGTTTGACTCGACAGCACTGGCAAATCCCCCTGAGCAGAAGGTTCCGGGCTTTGAAACTGTGGTTTGTGATTCGCTCGTTTGGTGTGAAAAAGCTTCAAGACCACGTGAGACACGTAAGTGAACTAGGACGGCCCTTTACGGGGACGTCACATGCCCCATCACTCCAGGCCACTGAATTACACACAGCAGAGTTTTGGGCAGTCTTGCTCATGATCAGAGGCACGGATCCCTGCAAGTCTGAATGTTCAGCCGTGTAACAGAGAGTTCAAGTGCCCCCATGGAAAGGGTGTATTTGCTTCTTGGCCTCTGTAGCCACCTTATTACGACTGGGTCACCCACAGCCCAAAGCGGTCTACATCCCCATTGCATAAGGCAAAAATATTTAATTTTTGGACGGTTGTCTTGTTCGTTTTGGGTGAGGAGATTCCAGTTTCTTTTAAAAGCTGCTTGCTACAATTTATTAGGTGCAATAAAAGAAATGGGTTTTAGGGAAATGAGGACCCCATCGACGTTTTGCGTGATACGGCTTTTATAACAGAACTGATGGCTATTTTTGCCCCTTTTCGGAAACTGCAGGGGACGGAGATGGCTAAATATTTTGAGTCACTGGTCAGAAGCGACCCCCTCTTTGAGATCCCAGCCAAGAGGCACCTGGGGTTGGTCGTCTTCCGTTTAAAGGTAAAGCGGCCGCGTTTGCTTACAGTTCACCCTCTAATTTGTATAATAACGAATAGCTATGAATAGTGAACTTGGCACTGTAATGTAACCATATCATGGACAGCTCTTGCATCTTTGTGAACAAGGTCGGCAGTTGTGATGTTTTTCTACAGGCCGAAATAGGCTGAAAACTAGCCCGAGCAGCATTTTATAGACCAATGTCTTTAACGCAAGCATTGTTTTATTGATCACTGTCATACATTCCCAGATGTGTACTGGTTTGTTTAATGGTCAAAACGGGTGTTTGGTGTTCCAAAGTCTCTCCCCCTTCTGGTGGGCACCCACTCAGAGGCTCAGAGGCGGCATCTGGAGGAGGTGCCCACTCTGGCACCTCATTTTAATATATGAAATGCCTGATCTTTGCTGGCAGCATAGTCTTTAGTGGGGTGGGCCAGACTCCTGGGCTTGTCAGGACCACAAGCCTGCAAATGTTACTCTATAGAACTGCTAGAATTTTGTGAGGGATTCTAACAAATCAACCTCACTCCAGCTATTCAGCACGACATGCCAATCCTGGCTGGGAGGAATAAACTCACATGCAAACACACGGATGTATATAGGTATACCGTGTTTCCCCGAAAATAAGACAGGGTCTGTCCCGAGTAGATGTTGTCTAGAGGGGCGGGCTACAAAATCAATCAATCAATCAATCAATCAATCAATCAATCAATCAATCAATCAATCAATCAATCAATCAATCAATCAATCAATCAATCAATCAAATTAGATTTTGCTCCAAAAACGCATTAGGGCTTATTTTCAGGGGATATTTTATTTTTTTTTCCATGTACAACCCTCTACATTTATTCAAATACAGTCATGTCATCTTCTGGCTGCTGCACAAGAGTGAAGGGCGGGGGTTTCACTCAACTGGGGCTTATTTTTGGGGTAGGGTTTATATTTTGAGCATCCTGAAAAATCCTGCTAGGGCTTATTTTCAGGTTAGGTCTTATTTTCGGGGAAACAGGGTATGTACGGATGCACACCTACACAGAGCCAGGCTATGTGATCCTGGCTGTTGCCATCCAAAAAAGTAACTTTTCCAAACTCTGGCCAGGACCTACTAGGGAGAGGCACCTGCGTTAATAGGGACCTGCACCTTACAAGCGAGTTCTTCCTCTCTGGAAATTACTGGCTTGTGGATTTTTTAAATAAAGTATCCCTATTTTAATAGGAGATATGTATATCCAAAATAACCCTCTTCCAGGGCCCCAACTGGATGACAGAGAAGATCTTAAAGGATTTGAACAAGTCGGGGAAGATCTTTGTTATTCCGGCGACTGTCCGAGAGAAGTACATCATTCGCTTCGCCGTGACATCTCAGTTCACGACGCAAGAGGACATCCGACGGGACTGGTCCCTCATCCAACAGTGTGCGGCCAACGTTGCCAACTCACAGCCACTGCCGAAGCCTCTTGTTCTCTCGGATCCAGGGGGCCACATGCCAAAGCTGAAAAAGAGCCCTGGTCCTCAACCCACCGGTGACGTCTCCCGGTTTCCCTCTGAGAAGCCAGGGTGCGAACCGCCGCTGAGCAGAATCACGGTGCAGCCACGAAGAGGGTCTCTCCATTCCCCGCCAGGGTTGCCCACGGTGAAGGATCAGCCCTTGGAGGATTGCTTTGCCAAAGATGGCCGGGCGGTGGCGACTTCCGTCTTGGGCTTCTCCGTCCCGAGCAAGAAGAAGACAGCCCGCTCTTTCAGCGTCCCGACGGCTGGCTTTGGGGAGCCCGACCATCCCAGGGCGGTGGGGTTTCTTGGCTTCGGTGAGGGTGGACCTTGCACCAAAGAAGAAATCCTTTCCAAATTCCCCAAAGGGATCCTGACGGTGAAGAAAAATGACCTCAAGAAGCGCCTGAAATTTTACAGTGTCCCGAGCTTCCCCGAAAGTACGATCCAATGTGGCCTTCAACTGCCGTGCTGCCCCCTGCCAGCCATTGTCTAGTAGGCCTTGACCTCTTCCCCTTGACCTCTTCCCCCCAGAAGGCGGGAACCAAAGCCGGCTTATTCTCATGCAATAGAATAATCGATGACCCTAGTCTATATAAACATATCTATTTATGTAATAATAAGTATATGATATTGGCTATTTTTCTAAGCTTGTACATTTAATACGTTTAAAAAGGGAAATACACTATTTAATATTGACATGATGAGAAGTTTTGGATTTCGTTTCAGATTCTCACACCCACTTATTTTCATTTCATGTAGGCCACTGTGTGTTGGGAAACAGTGTAAATTCAGTCAGGGGGTCAGGCGCTGGAAGCTTCCAAGCTCAGCCTGGCCCCTTGGGAGATGTCAGTCAAGTCTGTTGTTTGTTAACCTACAAGCTGAAGAAATGGGACAACGTTCTGAATAGAATTCCTTATTAGAGACTTGGGGATCAAGAGGCAGGACCATTTATTCCTGCGTTATTAATAGGACTCTCCAGAAAAGCTAGTGGCCGGCCAAGTATCTCAGGCATGATTCCTATGGAAAAGTAAGGCATGAATTTTTTTTTAAAGTCATACTCCTTCTTGTTCCCAGAAACGTCGCCCACAGGAGGCTTCAAGCTCCAGGAGGGGAAAAACTTGAGAAAAATTCAGGAATCTGGGTGCTAATCCTCCCACCTTCCCAAGTGTTCTTGGATAGACTCGTGAGGTGAGCTACATTCACCAGCTACGTTGTGCCTCTGACGCCTTAAACAGGGACTGGGCTACATTCACCAGCTACGTTGTGCCTCTGATGCCTTAAACAGGGACTGGGGCTTTTTTACATACACATACACAGGCACAGCTGCAGCAGCTCACACAGGCACACAGGCACACAGGCACACAGGCACAGTTGCAGCAGCGTGAATCCACAGAGCCTGTGTGGCAGAGTGGATAGAGGAACAGGCTAGAATTCAGCAGGCCTGGGTTTGAATCCCACTCATCCATGGAAGCCCACTGTGTGTGGAAGTAGTAAAATCACTCCTTTAATATCCCCCATGCCTGGAAAACCTGGTTACCGTCACTGTGAGTCAGCTGTGGTAGAGAGCCACAAATTCTCCATGACCAGATTTTGATGAAGAAAATAATCCATAAGGATTGATAAGAATAACACTGCTACTACAGTATTTGCGTCCGGGTTAGTAACTGGCCACTAGAGGGTGAAAGTTCACCACAGGAAATCAGGATTTTGGGGGAGGCACTTTGTCTGACGCCCCAAATTCAAGGAAAAACATTGGGCTGGCCCAAGACTTTTTGCTGCCTGAGGAGGTGCTGAAAAAATGGGTCCCTCCAGCAAGCAAAGTGCCTGGAGTCCAAAACCAACGAGGTTCATTTTGTTACAAGACCGGGGAGGGGGGGACACAGACTCTCCTCATCTCTGGCGGGGAAAAATACAAACATAACTAAATAAAGAACAAAAATTGGCTATCCTTTCACCGCGTCAGAGGCATCTCCTCAGGTTACCTGATGGTAGGGCTGCTCCCTTTCAAACCATATCCTTCCTTTCATCCTCTGCTGAAAGTATTTAATCTGTGGTGTTTAAGTATGTGTGTGTGCTTTTAAATTATTCTGTGATATTTCTTTGGTAAGTAGACAAGTGACTCAGTCCATGCGCTGGTCGCTTGCCGTCTTGATGACGGTGATGTGTCACCAACAAGGCTGCCCTTCAGAATGATACGGATTTTTTAGGTAGTGTTGAATTGAGTGGCCGTGACTCGAAAGGGAGGGCCTTCCATCCTCCAGGAGCCACGCTGGGAAAGGCCCTGTCCTGCACGCTTGTTAGCTGGGCTTCCAAAATAATTGGTATTTTAAAGAAGGCCTCTCGTGAAGGTCTTAGTGTGTGGCCTACTATCTCTCCCCCCCCAACCTGGTTTGTGCACAAGCCAGGATGATGAACAGGTCCACTCTGGCACTGCTTCTGGAGTTCTCACCGCCCAGAGACACGTCGGAGAGCCTCTCACCTTCCTCCTTATATTTTGTATCACCAGTTTACGAGAGTGTGACCCTCGCTCCTCGTCTCCGACCGCCCGCCAGCTTGTCTTACTGGCCTTCTCTTCCTTAATAGGCGCGATTGGGAACTTCTCGCCATACAGTATCTCCCGGAGGGCACAGCAGGCTAAAAATATTTCATGTTATTTTTTGCTGCGGAATTTCGCATTGGATTTCAGCTGATTGATAGCCACCCGGAGCAGTTCTTAGAAGAAAGTGGGCGAGGATACAGCCGGCCCGGGCCAGAAACTTTAGAGCAATGACCTGTTCTCACCTCCTTAACCTCGTGGTGGCCTTTTTCCACTCCCATGCGAGACGGATGGGCAACGGCCACGGGGTGGGCGTTGGGAATCTGGCTTTCTAGACAAGGTGGCTGTACAAAGGCCGGGTGTCCAGGGCAAAGCACAGGGAAAAAACTCTCCTCCCGCAGTTAATGAACCAACCGTGTGGACAAGGTGTCGAGGGTGCCTCGTGGATGCCCTTTGCCTGGAAGGTGGTGGGCAGAGTGCAAGTCGAGGCAGAAGCAGGAGAGACGGACAGGACGGGGAGAGGGGGGTATCTGAAGGGGAAGCGCTTTCTGAGCACAGAGGGCACGGGCGAAAGAGCAAACGTGGCTATTTTGTTGTGCAAGAATTGTCTCTCTTGCACGGTTTGCAGTGGTTTCACGTGTTGCAGGGCCGGCTCTACCGTTTGGCAGAACGGGGCGGCCGTGCCGGGCGATTGTCTCTAGAGAGGCAAAGGCTACCTTCAAAAGCAAACAGGGACACCTCCAAGAGCCTCCTCCACAGTTAGTTTGCCAGTTGGAATCGCAATGTTTAACTAGTAAATATTTATCTTCTCATTGCTCGAAAGAAGTGGTCCCGTCGCGGGGAGCCGGGAGCTCTGAGCAGTGAAGCTGCCTTCTGCCTGGGGAGTCCGGGAACATTCAGTCAACATGGGCAGAGGTGGAATTCAAATCCAACCCCCCCCCCCTTCGGATGATGACTTTGCTGTCCTTGTTTCGAAACAGACAGAGGCATTTAGTTGTCGTTGATGGGACCCCTTATATATTTTTTTCTGCACCATCCACAGACAAGGGGTGCCGCATCTGATGAAGGCCCTCATCGGCTAAAAACTAGCATTTCTTTGTAAAATTTTAGCAGTCTAATCAGTTGGGCAGTTAGCTGAGTTGTTTAGATATCTGACTGTGGAACTAGAGGTTGGGAGTTCAATTCCCCACCTGGGAGAAGACCCAGCCTGATCTTCCCACTCGGCTTCAAAGTCTTTCCCCTGATTTTGGCCATCGTCTAGGTCTAGGGGGAAAACCACATCTAGCTGTTTGAAACCTGAGTCTGGCCCTTTACCAAACACTGTCCATTTTAAATCCTTCCTCTCTCGTTTTTTCCTCTGACACTTCCCGCCCCCCAGATTTCACAACTCCTCCATTTCTGCATCGATCCAAAAGTTCGCTTCCAAAGTCAAACCCTTCCAAATGATCCCTTCCCCTCTGCAAATTCTTGAAACGCGGCTTGGATTAAATAAGTAACGAATGCCAGGGGCCATAACGGTCAACAAAGCAGAGAGAATTTAACTTCAAGCTTTATTGCGCAGCAGTTTCTGGAAAAAGATCAGTCAGACGGGTTCATGCTCTGTGGCTCTGCGCATCAGCAGCAACGTGACGGGGACATGCTCAGGTAACGCCAGGCCACATGGGGATGCCTGGAGGGCTCGTTCAGCAAATAAAGTCCCTCCACCTCCTGAATCAACGTGCCTACAGTGCTTTTGCAAATTTCGACTCCTCTTTTACACTCCCTGCGAAAGGCAAACCCAGTTGTGATCCACCTGAAGGCCACAACGGTCTCCTTGAGTGTCACCTGGATGCGGCTGCCCATTCTTTGCCTCCCGGCTCGTTCAGTAATCCATTTCGAAAAGTTTAGGATGTAATCCAGCCCATGGAGGCTGGTCTATAAAGTCAAGCAAGGCGCAGTCCCTCCCGGCCCCTCCGGAAAGGCCAATATTTCCTACCGGCAGAGGCTAAAAAACCACCCTGTAGCTGGACCGACCCAAGAGGCCATTTTTCTGTTCAGTTCAGATATTTTTCTCAGGGGTGGTCCCTGCTGCGGATGTCCTGCTTGGATGAGGGGTGGTGGGGGTGCGCGCGCGTTTCGACTAGATGAACCCTGAATGGCTGGACAGCTCAGTGGTCCAGATCCTTGCTATTACAGAGCTAGAAGTTGGGAGTTTGATTCCCCGGTGTGCCATACCCGATGATTCATCGGGTGCCTTTCAGCCCCGTAGTTCTAAGATGATGATGATGAGGAGGAGGATGTCCCTCCCAGCTCTACCATTTGGGGGCTGTCTGTCAAAGGTTCAAAGAGCTGCCCTGTGGTGCCCTTGCGTGGAAGGAGGAAGAAGTGCATGAGATCAGATCTCCTGCTGCCAGCATCCCGCGAACAACACAGCCCCGTTTGGGATTCAGGCGCCTGTCCTCAAAAACCAAGCTGGCCAGCAGTCATTTTCCCAATTCCGAATTGCTCTGTTGTGAACTACTTTTTGTTCCAGCGCAACGGTGGTGCCATGTTCAGGGTGATGTAGAGACCCCCGCAGGGTCCTAAGGCAAGCTTGGCTGGTGCCCAGATCTCGCCAACCTCGGCTGGCTGCCCTTTAAATCGAGTTTGCCTGCCCTCAAAGACCAAGCCGGCCAGCCGTCATTTTCCCAGTTCCGAACTGCTCTGTCGTGAACTACTTTTTGTTCCAGCACAACGGTGGTGCCATGTTCAGGGTGATGTAGAGACCCCCGCAGGGTCCTAAGGCAAGCTTGGCTGGTGCCCAGATCTCGCCAACCTCGGCTGGCTGCCCTTTAAATCGAGTTTGCCAGGTTCACCACCTCCCATTCCCTGAGTGTTCAGTTCCAAAGTGCGAAGGAACCCCCAAAATCCAAATTTCAGGCCCAAACTGGAGAGCTGGCCACTTACTTCAAAGTGTTCGTGTGTGTGCGTGCGTGTGTGTTGGGCTGTTGTG